CATCATCAGCCACCTCTGGTGGTGACGAAGAAGCCCGTTTCGAAAGCCAAGGTTCAGTTATCGCCGGTGATTCTTTCGAAGATCATGGCTTACTCGCTGAATCTCCCGTCAAAGAGGGCCCCACCTCTACCACCACCTCCAGTTTTGATTCAAAAAGAGGAGTTGACAGCAGAAGAGCTAGAACACATCGAACGGGTACGACGACTGGCTGAAGGTTTGGAAATGACCTCAACGTACGTCGAAGAACCAGAAATCAGAGAAGCCGAACCAGAGTTCAGAGAAGCCGAACCAGATTTCAAAGAAGCCGAACCAATGCTAGAACGAACAGCATCATCAGCCACCTCTGGTGGTGACGAAGAAAGCCCGTTTCGAAAGCCAAGGTTCAGTTATCGCCGGTGATTCTTTCGAAGATCATGGCTTACTCGCTGAATCTCCCTGTCAAAGAGGCCCCACCTCTACCACCACCTCCAGTTTTGATTCAAAAAAGGAGTTGACAGCAGAAGAGCTAGAACACATCGAACGGGTACGACGACTGGCTGAAGGTTTGGAAATGACCTCAACGTACGTCGAAGAACCAGAAATTAGAGAAGCCGAACCAGAGTTCAGAGAAGCCGAACCAGATTTCAAAGAAGCCGAACCAATGCTAGAACGAACAGCATCATCAGCCACCTCTGGTGGTGACGAAGAAGCCCGTTTCGAAAGCCAAGGTTCAGTTATCGCCGGTGATTCTTTCGAAGATCATGGCTTACTCGCTGAATCTCCCGTCAAAGAGGCCCCACCTCTACCACCACCTCCAGTTTTGATTCAAAAAGAGGAGTTGACAGCAGAAGAGCTAGAACACATCGAACGGGTACGACGACTGGCTGAAGGTTTGGAAATGACCTCAACGTACGTCGAAGAACCAGAAATTAGAGAAGCCGAACCAGAGTTCAGAGAAGCCGAACCAGAGTTCAAAGAAGCCGAACCAATGCTAGAACGAACAGCATCATCAGCCACCTCTGGTGCTGACGAAGAAGCCCGTTTCGAAAGCCAAGGTTCAGTTATCGCCGGTGATTCTTTCGAAGATCATGGCTTACTCGCTGAATCTCCCGTCAAAGAGGCCCCCACCTCTACCACCACCTCCAGTTTTGATTCAAAAGAGGAGTTGACAGCAGAAGAGCTAGAACACATCGAACGGGTACGACGACTGGCTGAAGGTTTGGAAATGACCTCAACGTACGTCGAAGAACCAGAAATCAAAGAAGCCGAACCAGAGTTCAGAGAAGCGGAACCAGATTTCAAAGAAGCCGAACCAATGCTAGAACGAACAGCATCATCAGCCACCTCTGGTGGTGACGAAGAAGCCCGTTTCGAAAGCCAAGGTTCAGTTATCGCCGGTGATTCTTTCGAAGATCATGGCTTACTCGCTGAATCTCCCGTCAAAGAGGCCCCACCTCTACCACCACCTCCAGTTTTGATTCAAAAAGAGGAGTTGACAGCAGAAGAGCTAGAACACATCGAACGGGTACGACGACTGGCTGAAGGTTTGGAAATGACCTCAACGTACGTCGAAGAACCAAGAAATCAGAGAAGCCGAACCAGAGTTCAGAGAAGCCGAACCAGATTTCAAAGAAGCCGAACCAATGCTAGAACGAACAGCATCATCAGCCACCTCTGGTGCTGACGAAGAAGCCCGTTTCGAAAGCCAAGGTTCAGTTATCGCCGGTGATTCTTTCGAAGATCATGGCTTACTCGCTGAATCTCCCGTCAAAGAGGCCCCACCTCTACCACCACCTCCAGTTTTGATTCAAAAAGAGGAGTTGACAGCAGAAGAGCTAGAACACATCGAACGGGTACGACGACTGGCTGAAGGTTTGGAAATGACCTCAACGTACGTCGAAGAACCAGAAATCAGAGAAGCCGAACCAATGCTAGAACGAACAGCATCATCAGCCACCTCTGGTGCTGACGAAGAAGCCCGTTTCGAAAGCCAAGGTTCAGTTATCGCCGGTGATTCTTTCGAAGATCATGGCTTACTCGCTGAATCTCCCGTCAAAGAGGCCCCCACCTCTACCACCACCTCCAGTTTTGATTCAAAAAGAGGAGTTGACAGCAGAAGAGCTAGAACACATCGAACGGGTACGACGACTGGCTGAAGGTTTGGAAATGACCTCAACGTACGTCGAAGAACCAGAAATCAGAGAAGCCGAACCAGAGTTCAGAGAAGCCGAACCAGAGTTCAAAGAAGCCGAACCAATGCTAGAACGAACAGCATCATCAGCCACCTCTGGTGGTGACGAAGAAAGCCCGTTTCGAAAGCCAAGGTTCAGTTATCGCCGGTGATTCTTTCGAAGATCATGGCTTACTCGCTGAATCTCCCGTCAAAGAGGCCCCACCTCTACCACCACCTCCAGTTTTGATTCAAAAAGAGGAGTTGACAGCAGAAGAGCTAGAACACATCGAACGGGTACGACGACTGGCTGAAGGTTTGGAAATGACCTCAACGTACGTCGAAGAACCAGAAATTAGAGAAGCCGAACCAGAGTTCAGAGAAGCCGAACCAGAGTTCAAAGAAGCCGAACCAATGCTAGAACGAACAGCATCATCAGCCACCTCTGGTGGTGACGAAGAAGCCCGTTTCGAAAGCCAAGGTTCAGTTATCGCCGGTGATTCTTTCGAAGATCATGGCTTACTCGCTGAATCTCCCGTCAAAGAGGCCCCACCTCTACCACCACCTCCAGTTTTGATTCAAAAAGAGGAGTTGACAGCAGAAGAGCTAGAACACATCGAACGGGTACGACGACTGGCTGAAGGTTTGGAAATGACCTCAACGTACGTCGAAGAACCAGAAATCAGAAGCCGAACCAGAGTTCAGAGAAGCCGAACCAGATTTCAAAGGGGCCGAACCAATGCTAGAACGAACAGCATCATCAGCCACCTCTGGTGCTGACGAAGAAAGCCCGTTTCGAAAGCCAAGGTTCAGTTATCGCCGGTGATTCTTTCGAAGATCATGGCTTACTCGCTGAATCTCCCGTCAAAGAGGCCCCACCTCTACCACCACCTCCAGTTTTGATTCAAAAGAGGAGTTGACAGCAGAAGAGCTAGAACACATCGAACGGGTACGACGACTGGCTGAAGGTTTGGAAATGACCTCAACGTACGTCGAAGAACCAGAAATCAAAGAAGCCGAACCAGAGTTCAGAGAAGCCGAACCAGATTTCAAAGAAGCCGAACCAATGCTAGAACGAACAGCATCATCAGCCACCTCTGGTGGTGACGAAAAAGCCCGTTTCGAAAGCCAAGGTTCAGTTATCGCCGGTGATTCTTTCGAAGATCATGGCTTACTCGCTGAATCTCCCGTCAAAGAGGCCCCACCTCTACCACCACCTCCAGTTTTGATTCAAAAAAGAGGAGTTGACAGCAGAAGAGCTAGAACACATCGAACGGGTACGACGACTGGCTGAAGGTTTGGAAATGACCTCAACGTACGTCGAAGAACCAGAAATCAAAGAAGCCGAACCAATGCTAGAACGAACAGCATCATCAGCCACCTCTGGTGCTGACGAAGAAGCCCGTTTCGAAAGCCAAGGTTCAGTTATCGCCGGTGATTCTTTCGAAGATCATGGCTTACTCGCTGAATCTCCCGTCAAAGAGGCCCCACCTCTACCACCACCTCCAGTTTTGATTCAAAAAGAGGAGTTGACAGCAGAAGAGCTAGAACACATCGAACGGGTACGACGACTGGCTGAAGGTTTGGAAATGACCTCAACGTACGTCGAAGAACCAGAAATCAGAGAAGCCGAACCAGAGTTCAGAGAAGCGAACCAGATTTCAAAGAAGCCGAACCAATGCTAGAACGAACAGCATCATCAGCCACCTCTGGTGCTGACGAAGAAGCCCGTTTCGAAAGCCAAGGTTCAGTTATCGCCGGTGATTCTTTCGAAGATCATGGCTTACTCGCTGAATCTCCCGTCAAAGAGGCCCCACCTCTACCACCACCTCCAGTTTTGATTCAAAAGAGGAGTTGACAGCAGAAGAGCTAGAACACATCGAACGGGTACGACGACTGGCTGAAGGTTTGGAAATGACCTCAACGTACGTCGAAGAACCAGAAATCAGAGAAGCCGAACCAGAGTTCAGAGAAGCCGAACCAGATTTCAAAGAAGCCGAACCAATGCTAGAACGAACAGCATCATCAGCCACCTCTGGTGCTGACGAAGAAAGCCCGTTTCGAAAGCCAAGGTTCAGTTATCGCCGGTGATTCTTTCGAAGATCATGGCTTACTCGCTGAATCTCCCTGTCAAAGAGGCCCCACCTCTACCACCACCTCCAGTTTTGATTCAAAAAGAGGAGTTGACAGCAGAAGAGCTAGAACACATCGAACGGGTACGACGACTGGCTGAAGGTTTGGAAATGACCTCAACGTACGTCGAAGAACCAGAAATCAAAAGAAGCCGAACCAGAGTTCAGAGAAGCCGAACCAGAGTTCAAAGAAGCCGAACCAATGCTAGAACGAACAGCATCATCAGCCACCTCTGGTGCTGACGAAGAAGCCCGTTTCGAAAGCCAAGGTTCAGTTATCGCCGGTGATTCTTTCGAAGATCATGGCTTACTCGCTGAATCTCCCGTCAAAGAGGCCCCACCTCTACCACCACCTCCAGTTTTGATTCAAAAGAGGAGTTGACAGCAGAAGAGCTAGAACACATCGAACGGGTACGACGACTGGCTGAAGGTTTGGAAATGACCTCAACGTACGTCGAAGAACCAGAAATTAGAGAAGCCGAACCAGAGTTCAGAGAAGCCGAACCAGAGTTCAAAGAAGCCGAACCAATGCTAGAACGAACAGCATCATCAGCCACCTCTGGTGCTGACGAAGAAGCCCGTTTCGAAAGCCAAGGTTCAGTTATCGCCGGTGATTCTTTCGAAGATCATGGCTTACTCGCTGAATCTCCCGTCAAAGAGGCCCCACCTCTACCACCACCTCCAGTTTTGATTCAAAAGAGGAGTTGACAGCAGAAGAGCTAGAACACATCGAACGGGTACGACGACTGGCTGAAGGTTTGGAAATGACCTCAACGTACGTCGAAGAACCAGAAATTAAGAAGCCGAACCAGAGTTCAGAGAAGCCGAACCAGAGTTTCAAAGAAGCCGAACCAATGCTAGAACGAACAGCATCATCAGCCACCTCTGGTGGTGACGAAGAAGCCCGTTTCGAAAGCCAAGGTTCAGTTATCGCCGGTGATTCTTTCGAAGATCATGGCTTACTCGCTGAATCTCCCGTCAAAGAGGCCCCACCTCTACCACCACCTCCAGTTTTGATTCAAAAGAGGAGTTGACAGCAGAAGAGCTAGAACACATCGAACGGGTACGACGACTGGCTGAAGGTTTGGAAATGACCTCAACGTACGTCGAAGAACCAGAAATCAGAGAAGCCGAACCAATGCTAGAACGAACAGCATCATCAGCCACCTCTGGTGCTGACGGAAGAGCCGTTTCGAAAGCCAAGGTTCAGTTATCGCCGGTGATTCTTTCGAAGATCATGGCTTACTCGCTGAATCTCCCGTCAAAGAGGCCCCACCTCTACCACCACCTCCAGTTTTGATTCAAAAGAGGAGTTGACAGCAGAAGAGCTAGAACACATCGAACGGGTACGACGACTGGCTGAAGGTTTGGAAATGACCTCAACGTGCGTCGAAGAACCAGAAATCAGAGAAGCCGAACCAGAGTTCAGAGAAGCCGAACCAGAGTTTCAAAGAAGCCGAATACCAATGCTAGAACGAACAGCATCATCAGCCACCTCTGGTGCTGACGAAGAAGCCGTTTCGAAAGCCAAGGTTCAGTTATCGCCGGTGATTCTTTCGAAGATCATGGCTTACTCGCTGAATCTCCCTGTCAAAGAGGCCCCACCTCTACACCACCTCCAGTTTTGATTCAAAAGAGGAGTTGACAGCAGAAGAGCTAGAACACATCGAACGGGTACGACGACTGGCTGAAGGTTTGGAAATGACCTCAACGTACGTCGAAGAACCAGAAATTGAAAGCCGAACCAGAGTTCAGAGAAGCCGAACCAGAGTTCAAAGAAGCCGAACCAATGCTAGAACGAACAG